AGGATCGCCATCATCCTTAAACTCCAATTATCATAGTTGATCTTCGTCAGGACCGGAACTTGGAAGGGAACACCACTATTTGTCATCACCGTAGCTCTGATACCACTTTGTTGGGTATATTAGCGGGATAACGTTTCTTGTAGCGGATAAGTTGGAAATTGGACTGCTACTATAAAAGTTAGCCTCCGTATTTAGAAAAAAGATTTGCTACTCAAGCTTTATATTTAGAGAGAGTTTTATAACTCTTTTAGAGAGAACTCTTTCTTAAAACTACTACTCTTTATTTATGATTGCTTTTGCTTGTTGTGAGATGCTTTTACAAGTGAGCCAAGCATCCCTATTTATACTACTTGAGCTATCTCTAGATCCTTCTCTTAGTCTTATCCATAATTTCTTCTACACACTTCTTCTTCTTGGGCTTCTTGGGCTTCTTGACTTTTGCTTTGAATCTTGGACAATTGGGAGAGCCCAAACCAAAGTTTATAATTCAACAGCATGGCCATTGACGATAGTTATCAATTAGCAGGGGAGCTTGAAGAAGCGTGGAAACAGAGTGTTACAACTAATAGGCCTGTTGATATTGTTTCCTCTTTGAAAAGGTATTTTAACTAAACACACAGTTTTTTTTTAGTTTTGGGATTATAATAAGTACTTAAACATGATCTCTAAATATGAAGAATCTAGAAGACTCAGAGTGGCTATTATACATGGAATGGCGAGAATGGCTGCAATTATGGCTTCAACTTACAAAGCTTACTTAGGTGTTGGGCTTGGTCCTCTCTCTGTGAGTTTTTTTGTTTTAATTAGTTTTCAGTGATTAGATATACAAAGAGTATACACAAAATTCTCATATCTTATGTCTTTTGTAGTTCTTGGCCAAGTTTAGAATACCACATCCGGGAATAATTGGTGGAAGATTCTTCATGGATATTACTATGCCTTTGATGCTTGACTGGGTCCTTGGTGGTAACAGGTTAGATCTTTTTTTCTCTGTATTCATCTACACAGACCTTAAAAGTTTTCAGATTTCAGTAACTCATTGTTACATGTTTTTGTAGTGAAAAACTTGAAGGAAGGTCACCTAGTTGCATGTGAACATGAAGCAATAAAAGGGACTAGAGGAGAATAATTATTCGAATGGTGAATGTTACACTTGGTTTGAGAAGGTTACAATTGGTTTCAATTGGTTTGAGAGGAGAAGACCGTTGGGAGTTCTGGACAAAGCAGGTGCAAGTGGGTTGAGTTTTATATATTAAATCTCCTGTCCTTGTAAGCCTGATTTGACTTTAAATACATGTTGTAAGCAACCTAAAAAGTCAAGGAAACAGTTTCCCTCAAAATTCTCTTGTGTATCTCTCTCCTCTCTTCTCTCTCTCACAAAAATACTACCTTCTCTCCTCTGTTCTTGTTGTTCTTCCTTCTTCTCAAACAAACCAGTCTCTAAATACTCACATTTCAACATGGTATCAGAGCCACAAGGCTTCTGAACCTACTCTTTACTTCCGCAAAAGCAAAATCTCTGTTCT